TTAGAAGAATCGAAAACTCAAAGAGAGCCCACAAAAACCGACGAGGGCAATCCGAGAAGTCAGCGAGAAAGCGGGGAACAAAACGAGTATGACGGTTAGATTCTACAATTTATAATTTCTATCCACTTTCTTAACTTTTTACCATTCTATTAAGGTACTAAATTTAACTTTCACTAGATTACTAAGGAAAGGGAGAGGCGCGAGGCGACATGAATTTTGCATAACTACCTGCCTCATCCCAGTACTGAGCCAAGGGATCCCCATGTCATGAGACTCTATCCTATTCTATTAGGGTGGTGCAAAAGAAACTGCCGATGGGTATCAGCTCTCATTTATCAGAAACGAGCGATGCTAACGGCATTATTTTTTTTATGTTTTGTTCGCATATTTGTTTGCTATTTATTTCAACATTTGAATTTTTTGGTTCTTGTTTATTTTATTTAAAAGTGCTTCTATTTTTATTTAGATCAAGGTCGAGCAAAAGTTTGTACTACGAGCAGCATTACTGTTTAACTTCAAAATTGGAAAGTCTGCTGCCGAATCGCATCGTTCTCTCTGTGCTGCTTTTGAAGATGGCAGTTTGTCTCTCAGGCAGTATCAGCTTGGTTTCAACGATTCCGAGAGGGAGACGAGACTTTAGAAGATGACGAGCACGGTTCGAGGTCAGAAGTCGTGAACGAAGCCAAGCTGAGGGACGTTATTCAGGCCGATCCATGCCAATCTGCTCGAAATCTTGCGAAAATATTCCATTGTGATCATGTCACCATCGAACGCCATCTTTTTTTTGAATTTACCGTCAAATCGGCAGTTTCTTTTGCACCACCCTAATAAATGCAGAGTTTATTATCTTTTCTCAGAAACTTTTACATTCAAAACTTTTCCAGAGTTTGTAACAAATCCGTTCGCCGTTTGGCAAGTGGTCGAAGAGCGGCCTGTCCCCACGCAGATCGGTGAACCGATCATTGAAATCGGTACGTCATCTTCAGAACAGCTACCGTAAATACTGTAATAGTACCCCAGCCCCATAATGACGGTGCGGAGTGTTGCGTAGTCTAGCTTTGAACGAGTTTTTCTCGACACTGGTTTATGCTACAATGCGCGCTTAGATATCAAAAATAGCCCTGAATTTCAGCTATTTTTTTGATACCAAAGACGCATTTTTTGAAAGTATGGGCGCTTTGAAAAACAATGAAATACTAAAAAACTTTTGCGACTACGCGACTGTACGAGGGCGGTGGGGTACTATTTACGGTATATATTTTTTAAAAAAGAAATTCATTATATAATCAATATCCCAGGAGCTCAACCAGGACTTGATGGGATCACCCATTTGCATTTGGAGCGAACGACCGACAACGCTGATCTCTACATGGCTCAGTGGATACATCCAGGTCGACGGTATCGAGTTGATGTAAATGTTGAGCCTGATGATGAGGGTTTGTTCATGATAAACTTTAAATTTCTTAGAACTTTACAAACTTTGAAACTAGATATTGAAACCAATAGACCCAAGGATTCAAGGATTTTATGATAAAATTGAATTTTTCAAAACTCATTTTTGTGAAAAACTTACTCTTAAATTCAACAATAAGCATGGACTTTGATTATCTAAAAAGAAAAACCCATTTTCTCATCAGGTGAACTAATCTGCTTACTGCGAACCTACAAAGGTTTCGCGGTGAATCGTCTCAGCGATGCGGACATCGATCAACTTTTGGCCGAAATCGAAACGACGACAAAACAGAGGAAAACGAGAGAGAAACCGAAAGAGTAAACGCGGAAACTTTTCTAGGTACTATATTTTTGGGACATGTGGATTTTACGCGGATCACTACATGCTAGTGATGTCCCAACCCGAAGTCAGTCTGGCTTAGATTTCGGCAACTTTTTATTGACCAAGCCTGACTTCTGGTCTAACTAGGGAAGTGCAATAGGTCAAGATGGCCTTCTGTAATGAGACCTCATCTTACGCAGTTTTTCATGGAGATTCCGAATCTGCTTTCAAAATCGGCAAACAGTTTTCTGGCAAAAGTTATGAGCATTTTAAGTTTCGGGCTGTCTCTACAAAGTCCCTTTCACTCTGCGAAGTGTTCTAGTGGCGGAGTGGGTAAGAGCCTTATATCAAAGGTCGCCTATATCCTCTTTGCCTGGCTTCGATCCCTCTTGCAAAAAAAACTTTTTGTTTTTTTTGTTCTTTGTGTGCGCACACAACCGTGAATGATCTGGCAGATCAACTTTACCCATATCGACTCAGAAGGAGCATACCAGAAGTTTCGCCGGTAACTGTAAAAAGTCTATAGGTCCTTTTTACACACAAGGCTCTTACCCACTATGACACCAGAACACTTGTTTTGCAGAGTGAAAAGAACTTTGTAGAGGCAGCCCGAAACTTAAAATCCTCATAACTTTTGCCAGAAAGCTGTTTTGTCGATTTTGAAAGCAGATTCGGAATGTCCATGAAAAACTGCGTAAGATGAGGTCTCATTACAGAAGGCCATCTTGGCCTATTGCACTTCTCTAGTAAACAGCCAGACGAAATTGTCTTTGAAACAACGAAGCGACATTTTGCTGAGCACACTTGAAGTGAATGGCGTAAGATTCCACAAGTTTCCATTGCCCCAGTTTCTTTTCTTTCAAGCTTTTTTTGTGATTCTCGAGTCAACCCGGTTTCCCATTTGTTGATGCTTTTACATTCCATTATTTTACCCAATTTCTTTTCTTGTCTAGTCTTTTCTCCCATTTGTGATCATGATCTCATTTGTGTGTAAAAGTTTGCAATCTTATAGCATAAATTTGCCCACATTGCATAAAAATTAGTTGCAGAAAATTCTTTTTTTCTTTAAAATTCACACAAAAATTGTAGACAAAATGTTGTGATTTTATCAAATCAAATTCTCAATTTAGCGGTCAATATCAATATCAAAATCGGCGCGAATTTAAGGCAAAAATGCGTTTTCTGATGAAAGTTATCTGAAACAAAAACATGTGCTGCTTTCAAATCCCTCTAGATACATTTTTATAGACACTTTTATGTTTACTTTTGATCAAAGCATTAACTAAAAGGCAAAATAAATAAACTGCTAAAATCAAAGAACATAAATTGTAGTTAAAAAAAAGCGGATGAGATATACCGGATCGCAAAAAGGGCTCTTACTCTTAGGGAATGTTGTCAAGTGAAAAACTATATCAGCTAGGCTTGGTCGCGTTCGAAAAGCCCACCTTAACTTGACAACATTCCCCTAGTTAGCTATGCGAAAGCCTACACGCACAAAGAGGTCACATTCAAGCTCGTTTTTCCGGTTTTCATATTAAAGACGGTCTAATCGTTGTATCTTTAAACAAAAATTTGAAATTAATTTAATAAATAAAATTTAATTAAATAAACGTAAATCCCATTAGCCTATTTTTATCCGAATCAGAGCTTTTTCGTCTCGAAAAATCCCCTCATTGAACTGTGAAATTGGACACTGAGAAGAAATTTGAGAAAGAGAAAACTGCTTTTCTATTTTCTTTTTCTTTTTTCTTTTTTTTTTTTTGATTTGAATGATCATCGAGAATCCTCTCGCAAATAATGACATTGATTCTAAAATGGAAATGGATGATAAAATACGTCGATTGTCATATCAACGGGTGAGTAATCGGTGATTGTTGTGTGCTTGTAGTTTAGTCAATTTATTGATTTAAATTATAACTAATTAATTATAACTTATTGTCATATCAACGGGTGAGTAATCGGCGGTTGCTGTGAGGTTTAGTCAGTTTATTGATTTAAATTATAACTAATTAATTATAACTTAAAAAAGCTCGCCTAATTCTAGCAAAGTGCTTTAAAATCAATAGTATAATTAGGAAATGTCGTCTTCTGTTTTTTCTTTTTTTTGCATCAATGATTGTTTAACTACTGCCTTTTCAGCAGTTTGGCAATATCCGAAGTTGATCATCCCTGTGCTCCAAGCTGAAGAATAGGGGCGCGGTTGGGAGAAGCCTTCACCATTATGTCCAAACTTAAAAATTTGCTTAAAAACTGCTACATAATATAAAAAGCATTCAAATTAAGAAAAAATAATCCTTTGGCAAGAAATAAAAATCAATCAGTTTCTTAAATCAATGTTACAACCTTGTAACCATACATCGTCGGTAAAAAGCGTCGTCAGATGCTCATCATTTGCGGCCCTTGCAAGAAGAAGAGCACATTTTTGCTTCCTGCAAAAACCATGACTCCTGCTGGATTTGAGTTCCTGTCCACAAATCAGCCACTTTTATTTGCTAATTGAGGGCTGTGAGCCAAAATTCAATCATTTTGAGAGTTGAAAACTTGCTCAATGTTGAATAATTTCTCGTCGGTAAAAAGCATCGTCAGATGCTCATCATTTGCGGCCCTTGCAAGAAGAAGAGCACATTTTTGCTTCCTGTTTCTCATTTGAAGATCCGTCAGGCCATTATGCTTCCTTAGCTTGTAAGGGTGAAGACTCAGATCCTTTTTGACAATACGACGATAGTTCTATCAGAAACATTCAATTGGGGAGCCATTTTTCTCATGCTCCGGACAGGATTGCGCTTGATTCGTTTCTTAATGATTTTCTTGAGTCTCGTGTGATCAATTTTTGGCGGGCCTCCACTTTTAGGAAGCTCTTCGACTCTATTTTGTTGCAAAATGCGGTATACCGTCATTCGATGCATTTTCAGCAGTTTGGCAATATCCGAAGTTGATTGTCTTTGTGCTCCAAGCTGAAGAATAGGGGCACGGTTGGGAGAAGCCTTCACCATTATGTCCAAACTTAAAAATTTGCTTAAAAACTGCTACATAATATAAAAAAGCATTCAAATTAAGAAAAAAAATAATCCTTTGGCAAGATATAAAAATCAATCGGTTTCTTAAATCAATGTTACAACCTTGTAACCATACCTATGCCGCACCCTGTATCAAAAAAAAATGGTGCAATCGTTTGATAAAGTTTGCTAGATTTATGAAGTTTTTTATTTATAAAAACAGTATTTAAATGTTGTGTCATTTAAAGGAAATTCTTAAAATCGACTCCAATCAAGATGTGTCCACAAAAACAGCCATAAGCAGTCGCCTATTTGCTGATGATGGTTGCTATTTGTTGAAACGAGATCTCACCGATCCCACTGAGAAACAATTTGATGAGTTTCATTTTGTGCGTTTGTATAAATTGAATTTTCTTAAAACTTACACTCACAGCTTGTCAAATGGATCGCTTTTACAATAAATCCAAAAGATTCGCCGATTTCGTTGAAGTTGAAGAAAATATGGCACATCTTTTTGTCAATCATATGTTCGTTCGTTAAAAATAAACATTGCATTTAAACGAAATTTAATTCATTCTTTTCCATTCAGGCATTTACACGACTCTCTACGATTTGTATATCTTGATCACTCAATATAATTCAAGTCATGCTCCACATGTGATCATTTATCTGATGATCGCTTGGCAATCGCTTTTCTCATTGGTTTGTTCAAGTTTAAGAAAGTTTTTTTTTAAAATTTCCGTTTAGTTTCTTCTGGTCAACTGGCAACACAAGCTACGTTTTGAGTCATTTTTTCATTTATATCATCACTCGAAGATCCGTGATGTGCCTGAGCTTGATGAGGTGAATTTTTAATAGTGGTCGGAATTTAATGCGACTAAAGCTTAAGTAGAGCTAAAGTAGAGCTAAAGTTTTTCAAATAAAAACATTTCTTGTTCACTTCCTAGGCTTTTGCTTTAAGTACTAAACTATATTGAAAGTTTTATAACGCTAGAACTAGTTTAAGTAACGTGGAACTTGGAACTTGAAACTAGGGGAGATCCAAAACATGTGCGTCGTCGGGATTTGAACCCGAGACCTTTCGCTTACCAGCTGTGCTAACCATTACGCCACAGGGTACTTGATTTCCGTTACTCTAGAGGGAGTTAACTAGTACAATAAATTCAGAGACATCTAGCAGCTGTCCGGCGAACTCGTCGACAATTCTGGGGAATGCAAGTAAGAAAATCCGAAATGATTTTGTGCGTAAGAACTTTTCAGCTCTATTCCGTCGTCAATATGAGCGTCTATTTGATCGCAATTATGACAAAATATATAGAAACGATCATGAATCCAGCTTATGCATATGTTTGCTATCAAAAAACAAATCTATACCTGCTTTTTCATTTAGAGTTTCTATTTTCCAATTTTACGATACATTCGCCCGGTGCTTGGCTATATGTGTTTGCTAGTGCTTACTCATAGTAAAAAAAACACTTTCTATCTTAAAAACAGTTTCACACAATTCAGATATGCATATTTACTTGAGTATCACAAATCTTTTGCATTCCGAAGTCAGAAAGTTCAACTATACGATTAAAAATGTAAGTTGTACGTAGAAAAAATTGAATAACTCTAACAAAATTTAGCTTAAAGCTTCGACAAGTGATGAGATGAAGTCGAGACTTGAAAGTTTACTCTGTTTACACACAAAAATTTGTGGATTAGTCACGGAAATGGATGAGATTTATAGGGTAAACTTTAATTTGATCGAGTTTAATCAGTTTTGTTGATAATTTACTTGCGACATTTTTCCGAGAAAATCTTGGGTTGGCGCTTTAAAGTGTGGTAAAACTACCGTACCCCTCCGAATTTGCGCGAAATTTCATTTTTTTCATTCTTGTTCATTTCATTTTATTCTTTTTGCATTTTTCTGATGTGGTCGCGTTTGTTTTTGCAGGAAACAACGAGGATAAAGTTAAGTTACGTTTTTAACAGCATTTTCTGTGGCGGAAGCTTTGTTTGTAGAGTTTCTTTTAGACCCACTTACTTCTCGACGATCTGCTCCACCAACTTGATACCAACTAATGTTAAGTTAAGTGCTTTTTATCATTTTCTATGACGGAAGCTTTTTTTGTGACTTTTTAGTTGAAAAAACGTTGAAACGCTGAAAAAATAAGCAAAAAGAATAAAATGAAATTTCGCGCAAATTAGGAGGGTACGGTAGTTTTACCACACTTTAAAGCCCCAACCCAGGATTTTCTCGGAAAAGGGTCGCAAGTGATAATTATTTAGATTTATACTTTCATGACGACAATCTGTACGATTCCGTTGATGATCTTTGCCTTGGTGATCTCAAGGAAAACGTTGATTGAGTTCTCGTTTAGGTAACTTTTTTTTAGCATTTCATTGGCTAACGGACTTCCAATAGAAATAATATAAAAAAAAACTATGTGTTTAAGTTTTAAAATATGTTACTGCTTTGATATTTACAGTAAAAGCTTGTGACTTTTAGTGTCTCTCCGATGACTTTTTGTGCTTATCAACTGTATGTTATCATGTATCCAGCGAGATTGCATGGAGAGGTAAATTGGACATAAATTGGACATAAATTGGACATAAATTGGACATGAATTGGACATGAATTGGACATAAATTGAACTTTTGATTAAACATAAATTGAACTTTTGCTACTTTTGAAGTAAAGCTCTTTTTATTTCAAAATTTCAAAGAAAAACAGAAAACAAAATTAGCTTACTTTTCAGCTTTAGCATTTCACTATTTTTTCCAAAATCTTTTTAGTTGAACAAATCGAAATATCTTCTGTGTATGAATGAAAAGGTTTGGATACCATATGATGAAAATGTGCACAAGGTAGATGAACTTATTGTTGAGGTAAAACCCATTTTATGTATTCAAAGATCGGCACAACATTGGCAATCCACTTGGATCAGCCATCAGTTGGGATCACTCTTTGGGGCTTTGCTCTTGTCACAAAGTCTCTCATTTTAACGGTAAACGCGTCTTTTGAGTACGATTGAGTTAAGCAGCATAGCAGCAGCATTCAGTTATATCCAGTTAAGCAGCTTTTGTTGTTCAGATTGCTTCTGTGATGATGACCTGTTTGGCTTTGTTACTCGACATGCGACCAAAGGATTTGACTCATTCAGACTGAAATGTTTTTTTGTACTTTCGTATTTGATTCTGTATTTGTGATTCGCTCATCATCTGTCTTTTTCTTGAGCTGTTTTTGAATCTTTTCTGATTTATATGTCGTTAGGTACAGTGTTTGAACAATTTGCTGCAGTGAATTTACTTTAAATAAATAAAAAAAGAGATGTGGTTGTGGTTTTATTTCGAAATCGGAGCTCACATGTGGTTGATCGGATGGTTGCCGCCTTCTTGCTGAATAATATACATGTATTTGTCCATTTATTGCTTAAACCCTTCACTTACTCCGTATCCCCGATTGCCCGGGTTCCACACGTTGGGAAGATCGATTTTCTGCAAAAAATCACTGTTCAAGTAAGTTAATAATTTCAAAGCTTATCATCATTTTGGCTGAGAACTTCGAAAATGGGATTTTCGAAATGATTCTGTGGTTTGACTGGGCGCTTTTATACCGAGTTTCATTGGAAAAGCACAGAAATTTGCAGCTGACCCGTCTCTAAATTTTGAAAGATATCCCTTGCTTTAATGCAATTGTGATTCAAATAAAATATAAAACGATCCTTATAAATGGGCAAATGACAAATTAGATGTTTTCGAGACGTTTCTTCAATGCTTTTCGAGTGATCATTGTGATTCGGATAAGGATCAAATGTTAAAGAAACAAATTAAATCAAATCGTTATGGTGATGAAAATAAGGAAAAATTGATGAGTCAAAAATAAAAATAAAATAAAATAACTGGAAAAGTTCGGAATAAAAGAGTAAAATGAAAAGGTGTAGCTATGGCTCTTCCAGTTTAGGATTTGTTTATTCACTTCAGTAGATCAATTAGACCATTAGTATTAGGTCCTTGCAAAAGAAACTGCGGATTATAACCAACAAACAACCCAAAAACTTGAACAACCCAAAAATCAGTAAGAAAATAACTTTATTCCAAAAGATATTTGCCATTATTATCAACTATGTTCTTACATATTTTGCGTAGACTTTGGATGTCTGATTCGAAAAATTCGGGGTCCGGCGATGCAAAGTAGTCTTGCACCCAAATTTCGACTTTTTTAGGATTGTTAAACTTTAGATTTTGCAAGAGAGTGTTGCATAGACAGGAACAAGTGGTAATCTGAGGGAGCAACATCAGGCGAATAGGGGGATGAGGCACAAGTTTCCAGCCTAATTCTTCTATGGTGTTTTGAGCCAAGTTTGATGTGTGTACCCGGAAATTGTGAGCGAGTAAATGGATTGTCTTTGGATTAACACCTCTTTCTAGTAGAATTTCATCAACTTTCTTCAGCTGTTCGGCGTAGCTTTGAGAAGTTATAGTTTTTGAAGATTTTTGTAGTTTAAAATAAACGATTCCTTTCATATTCCAAAAGACCGACAGCATAACTTTCTTTCTGTGAAGTTCTGGATGTGATGTCGGAATCGGCCTTTCTCCTTTGCTCAACCATTGTCTTTTGCGTGTTGAATTCTTGAAATATATCCACTTTTCGTCCATCATCAACATGCTTTCAAAAAAAAGCACTGCCCTTAGCCTTTTTCAATAAAATCCGAGACAATAAAACTCGATTGGCTTTGTTTTCAGGGGACAATTCATGTGGAACCCATTGGCCGCAACGATTCCTTTTTCCAATAAGCGGAAGGTGTCGAGAAATTGTGCTCGAATCACATTTAAAGTATTCGGCTAATTCGGGCAAAGTTTGAGTTGGATCCAACTCCCCAATCTCCAGCGACTCCGCATTATCGAAGACAACTGGACAATATCCATCTTCCAAGCTGCCATCCCCTTCACGAAAACGTCGAAACCATTCCTGGCAAGTCCTTTTACTCAAAATGTTTCCTCCGAATGTTTCACAAAGATTCCGGTGCGACTTCGATGCTGATTTCTTCATTTTGAGGTCATAGAGAAGGCACGATCGCAACATGCGTTTTTGATCCGTCATCTTCTACCGAAGATTATATAATATTTAATGATAGCAATAGTTGTGAAAATAATTAAAATGAATAAGCAATAATAATACAATATAATACAATTTAAACCGGACCATCACACTTTCAAATAAAAAAAACTTTCGTCCTCGGAAGTAATCCGCAGTTTCTTTTGCAAGTCCCTAATAGATCAATTAGAGTAGACTTAAGATCAATCTTAAGTGAAAGGTATTGATTCTTTTAAAAGATAATTTTCTCAACTGTTGCTAAAAGTATTTGAGTATTGCAAAACGAACTATTGCCTAAGGTTTTACAAGGCTTGCTAAAAACTTATTAAACATTTGCCCATTAACTAGGTTACTTCATTGAAATAAACTCTGCAATCCAAATTTGAGCTAGAATCCCGAAAATTTTCGATTTTCTGACACTTTTGAAGTTATTTGAAATAACTTTTTTAAGAGTATCATTTTCCAGAAAGATCGAATAGACTAGGAGTCATTAATCCTTTCGTTTTCATTCTCATCGATCATTCGGCAAAGAGAGTGTTCCTTTTTGTTGCTCAATGAAAATACTAAAATACGGCTTGGCGGTTTCTCTCGGTGAAAGAGAGCAGAGGAAGGAAATATTTCTCCTCCATCAGACACACCAACTGATTTCCTTTGCGTAAAAAAAGCATTTATTTCGAAAATCTTTCACAATAAGAAACTTATAAATCTCAAAGCCTTGAGTTTATCTACTTATCTTTTGAGTTTTGGGTGTTGTTTATCAATTTCTGTTGCAAGGTTGCAATGTTACCTAGCTCTAAATCTATTTGTTCAGTATATTAAGTAAAAAAAGTTTTTATTATTGAGAAATATAATAAAAAACATTGATTTTATTAGGTTAGAAATCATATGTATTAATTACCAAGCTCAATATTTTTTCAGATCATGACTTCTCAGCCAGTCGGCCAAGGAGCTCATGGTTTTGTGGTAAAGCTGGGCGATCATACTCCGTAAAGTTAAGAAATAGACAAATAAAAGAATGTTTAGATGGATCGCCGCCAAATACATCCGCATCGATTCGAGGAAAGGCGAACGATGGTATAGAAGAGAGTTGAAAGCTTTGGAGAGAGTCCGACATCACCCAAATATTGTGACACTTTATGCTAGTGGGCAAGAGACCGATGAGAGGAATTGTCTATCTTATGTCTACTACATGGAGTACTTCGAACGACAATCTTTGAGGCACGGTAAAGAGTTTCACGCAAATTGCCAATTACCAGTTACACTTAGTTTTGTTTAGTTCTTGACGATCAAAGAGTGATCTACAATGAGAAGACGGTCTTTGGATGGGGAGATCAGCTTGCATCGGCTTTGGTCTGCCTCCGACAAAACAGGATCCTTCACCGAGATCTCAAACCTGAAAAGTGAGCCTTTGTCTAAATAGTGAATCTAAAGTTAGTCTAGCATTCTCATGACAGATCATTTCATTGTTAAATTGGCTGACTTCGGGTTGGCGAAGCATTTGAAGGACATGAGCGAGATGACCTATGGAGGAACTCGTCGATATATGAGCCCCGAACAATCAAAAAGCAAGGTCTTATTGAAAAAAACCTTAATATACATTAATGTTTAAAATTAGACGAACTACAAGAGCGATCTCTGGGCGTTTGGGTTGATTCTTTGGGAGATGGTCGAAAGAAAGTTACCTATTTGACAATCTTTTTTTAAACAACAAGTTGTAGAAAAGTGTTTTCTCCTGAGTACGATCTTCGCAATGACTTTAATCTTGAACAATTGGTTCATGATCTCAAGACAAACAGCGTCCGCCTAGAGTTCATTAATTGCTCCCATCAACCACTTCGAGAGCTGATTCTAGAGTAAGTTGTGAGTTGCAAATTGAATCAAAATTTTTAGATGCACCAAATACAAAGACTCGGATCGACCGGAAATTCAAGAGGTTCACAAAAGATTGGCTGAAATTAATTTGGTAAGAAAAGACGCTCCTCTAGTTATGATTTAGATTTCAGGCGTGTGCTGGAGTGTCTTTTGAGCCAATTGTTCGAATTGATCAAACAGCCTGTCTACTGCCAACATTTTCCGAGTCAAGCCCTCCTCTTCGACCATTCCCTCGCAGCCATTCCCATCGATCGAGTTTTCGAGGGCTAATGTCTGACCTGCCGGGCTTTTTCAGACAAGGAAGTTTGAGAAAAGCCAACGTGCAAGTTGATGCTAATAACGGTCAAGATTCGCCAGTCTTGGAGAATAGCAACGAGCTATTGTTGAAACTGAAATCTGTCGCCCATCAAGCGCGAGTACTTGAGCTAATTGAGAAACAGATTGAAAAACTCCGAACCCTTCCGAATAACGGCTTGTACTTAGCGGACGAATGTACAAATGCTCCCTCGATTCTCGATGAAGATTCATTGCAACTTTTAAACACAGAAGGTCCGCACAAAACTCTCAGAGAAACGACAAGAGATCTATTAAAGAAATTTGAAAAATGCGCCCAGCTAAACTACATAAACTTGATCGAAAGCTACAACGGAGCCCTGAGACATTACAGAAACTGTCGACGAAAAGGAACAAAGCTTGCTGACTTGATGAGTGGCGTCGAAAAAGTCTATCGATTAATTGAGAATCTATCCGGCAATATCTTCTACAAACAATGGTTTACCTTAGCTCTTTATGAAAATAGTACAAAGAGATTCTTTTTACGATCTCGAAAGAAAAACTCTTTCTTAGACTCAGAGTTCAGAGAGAAATTTGTATTGAAAGGGCGATTTGTTGAGGAAGAAAATAGAAATTTCTTTAAAGAGGAAGGTTTTGAAGAAGTCTATCAAGAAGTTTTCATTAAAGGATTCCATATAGAAGATCTGTTTCACGATTTGAGAACTTTCTTGAAGAGTCGAAAGGATGAGATTGCATGGAATCGTCTGAGTCTTTTCCTCGCAAAGTACAACTTGAAAACAAGAAATTTCCCCTTCTCGAGTTATGTTTTTAAAAACAAGACATCTATAGAGAATCTTTATTTGATGAAAAGTTCAGATATCGAGATGAAAACTCTGATTGAGTATGAGGCTCTTCGTCAGGAG